GCAGACGCTCAGTGTGCTAGCTGTGCAGCTGCAAATGCGTTTTACATATAGCCTTAAATCCAGAGAAAGGAGTTTCCCCACTGTGTATGGCTACGCAATATGAAGTGACCGTTCGAAAGGGAACTTCAACTATGGAATACTGCACTTGTGAAAACCAAGATCTCTTCACTGAAATGATAAATGACAAGCATGGTATAGGGTGAATAGAGACAAGAAATTGATGTGTGCGAAAGCAGCCTGACCTGAATTTCTATAAATGAAAGTGTTGGATGTTGGATCTCACTTCTCTAGAGGTATCAATCAATGTCCAATCTGAAAAATAATGAGTGTTCCTCTGTTACACTGAGCTATGATTCATTTACAAGTCACACATAATGTAACTCAAAGCATTCATTTGCCATCTAATTCTACTTTCCCTTTCACACAAACATGTTTGAAGACTACATATTTTTTTGTGTTAGCATATAGTTTATTCTGAAATAAAAACAAAAATCTCTTTGAATAGAAAAGACAGATTACGCCAGATGCAAGGTATTGAAAGGAAACAAAAACACATCTCAAAATCAAAAGGAGAAAGAGACTGAAAAGTGGGACATCTCCCCTAGCTTGTCTCAAAACCTCTCAAGAGCTTCATTTTGCCTAAGCAGGGAGTCTATTTATGCATTCATTTATAAGCCCGGTTCAAGTATTTGCAGTGGAAAACAAACTATTTACTGTATAGGCACTGATAGTGATACAAGAGCCTGTGAGCACATTTGGGATACATTTGGTATCTATTATTAGAATGATATTAGATGAAAAGAATATTTATATATATCCACAAACAGAATTGTGTTCTTCCAATCCTCCAGTGCTTCTATACCCATGCTAAAAAGCACAATTCGATGCAGGTGGGCTCCCCTAGAGTCTCCTGCGTCATGGACTGTCTTGTACTGACAGGTAACTTTTGTGTGTCAGAGATGGTAATAAGCAACTCAGGGTGCAGTGTTCTATTCACCCTCACCCTTCTCTCAACACATGTCCTATATTTTCACACTATTTTAGTTTTCCATCGATGCAGGCTAGGCTCTGTACAAATAGAGACTTGTGGACCAGACAGTCACAGACAACACAGCTACAAGCTATGCAGTGCTTTCAACATTTTTAGCAAGCTAACAGAATTCTCCAGGCTGAAGTGTTTATTTCTGTGTTGTGGTAATCTAGAAAGTTAACGTCAATACCTTAGAACCATGGATTCACACATATCCATCTGTCTACGGTAGTGATTCTTAAATGTTCTTCCCAGTGTCCACAATATTCAAATATCTATGACTTTTCCAACTGTTCTAAATTCATGGATGAATATTAAAGGCAAGGATTTAAAATGTGTATATTTTTACTCACAATTTCTGCCCGCGGAAGCAAGCATTTTAGCACTTCCGGTTCCATTGTCTCGAAGTCAGTTGGGTTTTTGAGAGGGATTTTGGATTAAATGGTTAAATAAGGTCTGTGGTGAACACAAGCTCAAGACACTTTCACATTTTTATTCTCTGACATAAAATACATAAGTATAACTCCACTCCTGATTTTTTAAGCTGTTATGTGTATTGAAAAAAGTCTAAATGGGACTATATGAAGAGTTCAGATGCAAAAGCCTCTAAATGCCATTTAAAATTTTCTTCTAAAATGACCATTTTTATCAAGCTTGTATATTTAAGTTCAGTAATTTCACTTAAATGACAATTAATAGGTAATCTTCATTGCCATTTAAGTGAAATTACTGAACTTAAATATACAATCTTGATAAAAATGATCATTTTAGAAGAAAATTTCAAATGGCACTTAGAGGCTTTTGCATCTGGACTCTTCATATACAGGCTGAACATCAGCATTTAGGCTTCAAAATTCATAAAAGTGGTGTTCATCTGTGAAAATGAAGTTGATGGACAAAATGAGTAAGAATCATAAACTTTTGTTCATCACAGAGCTTAATTTTTGCAATAATCCTTTTGGGGGTGGGGGGATGCTATAGTGATGCTATAACAGTCGGTTGGTTTAGTATTACCTTTAATACTCATTGTCACCTGCACCACTCTATGGCTTAAAGTAGGCTAGAGATTTAAGTCAACCACATTATTAAAGGAGAAGTTCACTTTAAAATGAAAATTACCCCATGATTTACTCACCCTCAAGCCATTCTAGGTGTATATGACTTTCTTCTTTCAGACAAATACAATAGGAGTAATAATAAAAAAAATAAATAAATCTATCTCTTCCAAAGCTTGATAATGGCTGGGTGTTGCAAGCAAAAGTTTGAAGCTTAAAAAAGTCATAAATGAACTCCATATGGCTCCAGGGGGTTAATAAAGACCTTCTGAAGCAAAGTGATGAGTTTGTGTTTAACAAATTCTAGCAAACTAAAGCGCAACTTACGCAACTTATGACATAGTCATGGCCTATAGCATCGGCCTAATTATCAGCAGTACCCTAAAGTCAAATTTGTATGAGAAAAAAAAAAAAAAAAGAATTATTTGTATATGTAAATTGAACAAATAATCTTCAAACAAAGACTGTTTGCACATTCTGTTAGTTTACTGCAACAGCAGGTGTTAATTCGACCTTTAATTCTCGAGGAGTTTACTCTAGACTGTGCTTCTTAAGGCCACCGTGGTGATGGCATTTAGCCTATTGCTCTTTTGGGTGAGTCAATTACAGTCTGTAAGTAGAGAAACCTTAACGGTGGCATTTAAGGTCGTTTCTACTGATTAGATTAGAATGTTGAAACTTTAATGTCCTAAATTTGTTTGGTTTGTTGGTTAGGCCAAAACAACTTTTATAGGATATTTATGAAATATTTAGTCCAAGGCAAGAAGGGGGAGAGCGGGGTACAAGCAACACTGTTTGACTTTCTCAGTTTGTGTAAATTCAGTTCATTTTTTTTTCATTCATAATTTCATTCATTTTTTTCCCACATTTTTTCCCAACGTCTAGTACAATTATGTGCTTTTGTTTCATTCATACAGTGTATACCTTTTTCTTGATTTATCTAGAACGAATGGAAGTGAAATGTGACAATGCCCCAGATGTTGTAACATGTGAGGGGCACATTGTAACATATGACAGATCAAAATAATATCTGATCTAATCAAAGAAATGTAAAAGACAAACTAAAATATTTTGTCAATATAATACAATTACTAACTTTTTCATATAAAATAATAGCCTTTTTTAATAATTAAAAAGAAACAAATTTTTGCTATTTGTGCTATTTATACGCCAACAATGTTTTTTTTTTTTTGCATGCATGCATGCATGCATATGTTGAGTGCGTGCATATTACATGCCAAAAAGTGTGTATCATATACACGCAAAAACTATTTTTGGCATATAAATGGCATGAGAAATTTAATTTATATATACGCGCTTTCATGAGATCATGTTGGTTATACACAGTATATTTCAAAACATAATCTGAACATTGACTCTCAGTCTTTATTCACCTTTTCTCGTGGTTTCTTAATAGAATTCATTAATATAACGTCTAGTCTAGAATAGAATAACATAGTTCTAATAGGGGCAGATTGTAACACAGCATTACAACATTCCCCATCTGCGCAACTGGGAATGAAACAACGTTAAACCTGGGGAATGTCTTCTGCTGGTTGTATCAGCATTAAATAACTATTATCATTAAATAACAGATATGCGATTAAACTAATAACAGATCTGATAATTAAAAAAAAACACACACACTCACAAAAAAAACCAAAGATGATAAAATTAACTGAAATGTACTTATACTTATACTTGTACTTATATATATATATATATATTTAACCATATAAAGTACATATAGATTAGACAGATCTATATATATATATATATATATATATATATATATATATATATATATATATATATATATATATATATATATATATATATATTGCCTATTTTCTTCTCTATATAGTGTTGATATGGCAACTAGTATGTACACTAAGTTTTGTCATGTGTGGAACGTTTTAAACCATGTGTGACAACTAACCCCACAGCAGCTCATCCCTACAGTATTGTGAATTTAATTCATTAATTATTAACAAGTAATACATTGTATACATTGTGTAAAGTATACTTTATTGTATTGCATATATTCCCTTTTTCAATTGTAAATTGCAAATAAACCAACACATTTTTTTTACCATCGTAAAATATATTAAAAGTTTATCAATATTAACAATACAACTTTTAACACGCTTTAATATAATTGTACTTTATTATATTTTAGAAAAATATACTTGAAGTGAAAATTCTGTTTAATTTTTAAAAGTCTATTCATTTGCACTATATTTAAACTGTGATAGAAATAATCAATGAAACAATCCAATGAAAGTATACTTTCAAAATACATTATGTTATTGTACAATAGCTGTATCATTTGTTTATTAATGTACATAAACAACAGATGTGTATATACACACACTGTATATACAGATACACTTATGATACACTTCTGGTATGTTGCTTGTATGTTTCGAAGACACTTATAATGAATTTGTAATGTACCACTTTAATATCACTAATCTAATCAAGCATGCAATTAGTCCCTACAGGCATATACTTAAAGTATGCTAAGTATACTAGAAGTTGTTCCAATTTAGCACACAAAAGTACACTAAATAAACTTAAAGTTTTACAATTTAATTATAATATAGTGCACAAACTCTTTATAGAACTACACAATTAGTTGTTTCAAAATAGCACACTTCAAGTTACAGTAACTACTTATTAACCCACTTGAAGTATTAGTCTTGCTAGTACACTTAGCATTTTTATTGATTTTTTTTTTCACCAGGGATACCCAAGGAGGAGTCTCCATGGCAACCTCGCCACACTTTTTATTATCCTTTAGTCAAACCCTGGCACTTCTGCTGTGAACTGTGCTGTTCCTCACCCTCACTGAGAGCTCATGTCCAACAGTGATAGCTCAAGTGCGCGCTCTCCACTCAGCTTCTCACTCTGCGCGCGCGCTGCTCGTGTCCCTCTGATACGTTTCTTGAATTTCCCACTTCAGTCCGTGTCACATCCGGTACAGCACCACTGCTTGGCCCCGCTTCTCAAATTTCCTGCCCACACCTTCCCTCTCGTATTAACCAAGCCAAGTTTGTCCAGTGATGAAGTAATATTTTTCGCAGCTTTCGTGCACATCCCTACATTCGCGATCGGATCGGTGGTCCAGGAGGAAAGAGGACGAGGAGGCGTCGAGGAGCTGAGATGAGATAAATATGCAAAGAGACGCATCTGTAAACCATTCCAATCTTATTTTCCCATTATTTTGGCGCTGAATTAAATCATAGCCTTTACGCATTTTCAAGAGAAGAGAGCCGGACAGCTGGACAGAAATCAGCTCTGCATGTGATATCTTCGGATCAGGTGGCATCGGCAGCAGAAGATGCAGCCTGCAAGCAAGCTCCTGAGTCTCACCCTCCTCGTACTGATGGGCACTGAACTCACCCAAGTAGGTTTATAAACGCCATTTTCAGCCCACACTCGGGCTAATTAGGCAGATATGCTCAAAATAAGCCAGTTTCATGTATTATCATAAGCGCAGATTAATCTATTGGGCAGCAAAGATCGGGATGGACTGATATGATAAACCACATTTAGAAGAAAATCACATCGGGGTTTCTCGTATCTCGAGCCTTTGTACCACATGGCTATAGAGGGGTTATTTTATAGTAACTTTTATGTAGGTTATTGTGCATGTTAATGAATGTGATTTCATAGTAATAGTTGACAGTATTATTTTTTAAAGATAAATGCCTCTTGGAAGCAGTGAAGTCTGTTTGTGTGAGTGATCATCAGTATCATTGTATCATTTGTATGATTATTCCTATTCAAGATAAAACACTCCAGGGCTTGTGCAGTGTATTCTCATTATCCACACTGTGATTGTCTCTGACAGTCTACAATCTCACTTTGAAGACAGAAATAGCAAGCAAATTGCTTTCTCCACAGTCATGATGTTTCTCTTCAGTAGCCTAACTGTTTTTTTTTTCTCTCACGCCTTTGACATTTTGTTGGTGAGTTAATCAAATGGAAAAAAAGCTTTACAGAAGCAAGGTCATTTGCTTTTACAGAAAAATAATTTAGCCTCTTTTCAATAATTGAATAGGCTGTTTGTTCTGTGAAAGAAACCAAATGCAAGTTTTGCTTTTCTTCATTTTTTTCTTTCATTAGGCTTTTTCATTATTATTATTTCACCTAATACAAGCTAGAAAACATGCTAAAATGATGCTAGTTTGTAAACTGTGATTTATTGTATGATTAGTTTAACTGAATTAGTTGTCTGAAACTAAGTGCCCTGCGCCATGAATTGTAATCTACCCCAAATTATAAATCACTGAAGAAAAAAAGAAAAAAAAACTTGTTTCATTTGATAAAAAATGCAGATTGATACAAAATTGGTATATATGTAGTTAGAAGCACTTCATATTACAGAATGCTTATAAATTCAAAAGTAAAACATCATTTTATATGATACTAATCTTGAACTAATCTTTAATCAAAATAAGTTGATTTGCATGTTATTATTTTATAAAATTGCTCAAAACGTTCGTAAATAGGATTGACCTGCATAGGAAGGAAATTTCTCATGTGTAAATCGTTGACCTATCAGGTATTCCCCCTTTTGTGTTAGTGCAGGTGAAAACAAATGTTGCTAGCCAAAGTCACTAGAAAAGGTACAGAAAATGAAGATGATAGAGAGGAAAAGGATGTTCTTAAATTAAATCTGTTATTTGTCACCATGTCCATTAGGAACATGTCTATGGTGTATGTGTAGCCAAGTACAAGATTAAAAAAGTAATTATCTAGTGTATGCTGGGCAAGGGCTGGTGGGTGGCATGGGATCTGATTGGAACTTGTCCAAGATACAAATGTTAAAAATTGAGAAGGAAACCTATACTGCCCTCTTTTGGTCAAATAATATCATGACATGCTGAAATACAATTGGTAATCTATCTATCCTTTCAAAATTCCCCCGTTCAGAAGTGACTCATAAATGGTACTCATAAAGCACTGTTTTAAAGTGCATAAGTGAGTTATCTTTTTAATCTAACATCTGCTGACATTTTAGTGTTGAATTACATGCTCAGTGAGCATTAACAATCAACTTTATTCTATCTAGCACATAATGTGTGTGTTGCATACCGTGGACAGTCGATGTAGCCTACTTTTGTAATCGTTACTAGCTATTTCACCGATGATGCGCAATACACTGCGCGCTGCGCGCGTTATAACGTCTTCTCGCATAAACCAAATTTGATATTGTCTCCTGCACATTTGACAGCCCCCGTGTCTATGTGTGTTATGTAGGCTAAATTTGTAAAAAAAATAAAAAAAATAAAAAATAAAAAATAACAGTAGCCTTTACGGATGTTTTGACGTTTCCGTTCAATAGAATGCGCCTTTCTGTTCGTGACCATCTATTTAGCACATATTCTGAAAAACCTGTAGTCCGTTATCTAACTTGATTACACTTGATTACACTTTTTAAATATGTATTTACTTTAAGTTACTTATTAATATGTACATACTTATTAAGACATCACTCTCTGTCTGCATCAAAGAGAGGCGGCTCGCTCTTGCAGTATAAGACTATTTAGAAGCAGAGTGCACAATCTTGTCTAAGTTGTTTTAAGTAAGCTGTCAGTGTGAGTATCGTGATACTAAGGAAAACTTTGTACTTGCTCAGTGATTTCGTTCGTGCGTCGAGAGCCAGGGGGAGGTTTGTGATATTTATGAATATTTCACCAATACTGGCTGGGCGGGGGCACGGAACCAATGAGATGAGATCGTCTGCTGAACTGCCGTCGTTCGTTATTCGCGTGAAGAGAGGAGACAGCACAGCACTCTGCTTAGAAACCGAGAGAGCTTGCGTAATTATAAAGTTTAGTATAGTATAGGTGCGAGCAGAAACGTCCGAGATGAATTCATTTACACTGAGTGCTTTACAAAAGCACATCACCTCTGTCAGTAGCGCAGGTTACCAGCACAGTTCTCTACTGGAATGTGTATAATGAAGGTTACTGGGAAAGAGAAGAGCAGAGATGTCGGTGCCTTTGCTGAAAATTGGAGTAGTGCTCAGCACGATGGCAATGATCACCAACTGGATGTCGCAAACGTTGCCCTCTCTAGTTGGTCTGAATAGCACCAAATTAAGCGTGGCACCTCCGGGTGTGCCGGACCGGAGCACTGGCGTGAGTTTCCTTATTCTCTTTGTTGTTCAATTTAGACAATATGAGCTGCAAAAATATATAAAACTATTATTTATACGTTACAAATGGTTATTCTATTTGAATAATGCATGTTATAAAATGAAAAAAAAAATGTAATTCATACAGTACAGGCTATAAAAGACATTCAAATTCTATTCAAAAGAACAAAAAATAATAAGTTTTACGTTGTAGATTATATGCTAATATCATGTATTATTCAGGATGCATAGTATTCTTTTAAGTATGCTACTGTTCATTGGAGAGTAACATAAACCATTATATGAATATTATTTAGAATTGTGGATTGAAGTATATGGTATTACCCTGTGATATCATTACCATGGTAGTACCGCCATATTCTTTTTATAAGGAGAGTTTCAGTCTGCAACGATTTAAGTGTTTAATGTTTCAGATTCTGATTTTGTGCATCAGATTTAAACCTGATGAGACAGAGGGTTTTGTCCATTGAAAGAGATGCATATTAGATATCAATACAAATGAACCTGAAAAAAGCTAAAACTGCAGGTGATTATTGACTTTGAGTGGGTTTGTAGTCTTGGGTGATTGTTATCTACCTATATAACCTATGTAAATGCTGTGTTGAAATTTATACTATTTAAATCAGTTATTTGTGAGCAAGACAAATATACTATCTTTTCTACATTTGTTTAAATATATGCCTTCACCATTCATTGTGCTATTATGGTAAGCTCTATCCTCACACAATAAAAACAATAGATTGTATTTTAATCTGAATTCAGCATTACAGGAACAGCAGACTTTCAAAGATGTTCCTTAGATTTAATAAAAAGTGCTTTCTGTCCGCTCTGGTTTTGAATATGGATTATTCATTAGATTATTCAGGATTAGGGCAAGACATACGGAAACGCTCACTCTTCCAGATGGCTCTTTTATGTAAAACCACTGGGTCATAAAATCCGACCCCTTCGAGAAAATACCATTTCACATCAAAGCACCAATTATGAAATTCCTCAGAAAACTGTATTTTGTCAGTATATATTGACCACTAATACACTGACAGATGAGAGTGTGTGAGAGAGTAGAGAGAGAAAACTGAGACTATACTGTAGCTTGGCTCAATAACAAGTTTCCTTATATAGTGTGACACATTACTGATTTGTCTATCATTTTCATCTCAGTTTGAATAAATCTCATGCTTCCAAGATTAGAAAATCGTTCTTACAATCCCAAAACCTTCATCTATATCAGCCAGCTAAATAACATTACCTCAGTGACATATTTACTTCAGCAGAAAATCAAAAGCAAAACTCCATAAACCATACTCACCAAGTTAAAGAAACACGTGATTGATTATTGTAAGATTATTGCAACATGCACATTAAGACATTTCATAAGAAACACAAGAATTGGCATGACCGTTTCCGTCAACTGTCCAGAAAACTCTTCCGGTCTGACCCTTGTGTAAGTGTTCAGGCAATTAACCTTCCCAAAGAATGCAGTCAGTGGAAGAAAGGATACATTTTTACAAAGCTGCAACAGCACATCCCGATCAGTCACTGACCTTTTTTTCCTCTTGGTTTTGCCCCTTGTCCAGGTGCTGCCTGCAAACCCCGAGGAGTCGTGGCAGGTGTACAGCTCAGCGCAAGACAGTGAGGGCAGGTGTGTGTGCACTGTTGTGGCCCCTCAGCAGACCATGTGTTCACGGGACGCCAGGACCAAACAACTGAGACAGCTCTTGGAAAAAGTAACCTTTGAAATAATCCACATACACACACATATCCACACAACGCCCTTCTGTCAGAAAAAAAATAGCTCACTTTCATAGATCTTTTCGGCAGGGCCATCACCCAGCACATGGATTATTACTTGTCTATATGTTCTCTTTCAGGTCCAGAATATGACTCAGTCCATCCAGAGTCTTGACCAGAGGACCCAGAAAGACCTGGAGTATGTGCAAAGAATGGAGGTGCAGTTGAAAGGCCTGGAATCTAAGTTCAAACAGGTGGAGGAAAGCCACAAGCAGAATATCGCAAAGCAATACAAGGTGTGTACAAATATATGAACTCATCCAAATATTCTTCACCATGGTTATTCCATTTATAAATGTCATATTTAATTTGTAACCGCACACAATGTTTCCCATTTACAAAAAGGTTAACTCACTTATTTAATTCCGCTCCCAACACTGGCCTTTAACATTACATTAACTGATCGATCTTTGAGAAAACAACTGAGCATATTAATTTTCTGTATATCTGTATGCCAAGTGAGCTCAGAATATTTGTTATGAATGATTTCTCCTCCTGAGTGGATGACACAGGCATTTTCCACCAGAAGTGAATTACAAACTATGATTCATTTTCCATCTTAGGTATTGTTAGCTGCCTGATATCAATTGCATCTGCATGCTAATGAGGCCGGTGCTATTTTTCGAAATGGAGGCGCAGTGATTTGTTGCGCATTGCAATTTGCAGTGCGTATCAAGCTCCCAAAGTGACATAGATTTTATAGATCTGTCTAGCACAGTCTTTTAGGTCCTTCAGCATCATCTGGCCAGTCAAAGTCTTTTAAACGAAAATAGCGCATTGGACATTTTGTTTTTGTTAAACGGAATATGATAATGGTCAGGAATGTGTACACAAATCAGGCAGGTCAGAAGGCCAGTGTTGGCAGCATCTATTTTTCATTTAGCAAGTAAGAAAACTACTCAAAAGATTTTAAGGCTTGACCTTTAAAGATTTATTACTTGATAGCATCAAATATTTGGATGCAATCACTGGGAAATGTCACCGTATACACTGTCATGGTCTTTATACCAGAGCCTACATAGCGCTGTTCACTCTTAGAAGTTCAGGTGCATATATACAAACATGGCATTTCAGCTGAAGTAGGAAAACATAAAGAATTAATTTGATAAATGGAATCAAAGGACTTGGGAAATGCATTTTTTTTTGATTGGACAAAGATTATTTTACACTCTATGATTACAGTACAATATAATACAAACATCCTTTCAAACGTTTGGGGTCAGTAAGTTTCTTTCTTTCTTTCTTTCTTTCTTTCTTTCTTTCTTTCTTTCTTTCTTTCTTTCTTTCTTTCTTTCTTTCTTTCTTTCTTTCTTTCTTTCTTTCTTTCTTTCTTTCTTTCTTTCTTTTTTTCTTTCAATTTTAAGGATGCATTTATAAAGAATGCATTACATTTATTTACAGTATGACATTTATAATATTACAAAAGATTTTCTATTTCAAATAAATGCTTTTCTCTTCAACTTTCTATTCTGAAGTCTGGAGTAATGATTCTGAAAATTCAGCTTTGCCATTACAGGAATAAACTATATATATATATATATATATATATATATATATATATATATATACTGTATATATATCTTTAAATATTTAAATACCTTTAAATATTATATATTCAGTCACATTATGAAATATTATAATTTTAAGTCTTTATATATATATATATATATATATATAAAGACTTAAAATTATAATATTTCATAATGTGACTGAATATATAATATTTAAAGATATTTAACTGGCTCTTGACTTTTTTAATGGTAGTGTGTGCGTATATCTTAATCTATGTCCTCATTTATGTGCATAAACTTAGGCATAAACCATCATGATTATTTGCAAATCTGCAAATAATTTCAAGCATGCATTTGTGTGTTAGTTCATCCTATTGAATTATTTTTCATATGAAATGTGTTGCATTATTTCTGTACATGCAGCTGTATCTGTGAAAATGTGTGTATTAGAAAGGCTAGCGAGTTAGCTATTCAACAAAATTTTATTTTCTTGCTTGCAGGGCTAACTTTATGAATTAAATCAAAGCTGCAGAGACTGAAGAACAAGTTCAATCCCATTGTAATCCTCAGCTGGTCAACTGATCGCATCATTCAGTTTATTTTAAATATAAAGCACCTTTGAATTCTGTTTGCGCTCTTTTTGTGCATGCCACTATTGCAGCCTTCCTTGAGTAGATTTTCTTATGTCACGACATCTTCTCCATGTCTTTTCCTAATTCAGATTTGTTTATGCACATTTGGATATTTTGAAACAAAGAGAAACTATTGTTGTATGTGAAGCATGTAACCTTCGACACCTTGCATTTTAAACGTTGGAAAATAAAGAGAGTTTTTTTCAAATTTTTGCTGGTGTACTGAGAACTTGTTTTATGCCATGTTGAACTCTACATCTGTTTTGCTAGGCACACTCAGAAATCATGATAGGGTAGGCAGAGAGGGCAAGTGCAGGGAAAGACAGGTGTTTGGACACAATCGTTGCACGCATGCCTACTGAACCAAGCCTATTTTAACCTTTCAGGCCATAAAAGCGAAAATGGAGGAACTTAGGCCAATGATACCAGTGTTGGAGGAATACAAGGCCGATGCAAAATTGGTAATGCAGTTTAAAGAGGAGGTCAAGAATCTGACATCAGTGCTAAATGAACTGCAGGAGGAGATCGGGGCCTTTGACTACGAGGAGCTTCACAACAGGGTGTCTAATCTTGAGGAGAGGCTCCGTGCATGCATGCAAAAATTAGGTAGGATGAGATTGAGCACAAACACAAACAACCTCAACATTTCATTGCATAATATTACGACTGTGCACAAGAAGAACAATTTGTTTTTATTACACACACACACACACACACACACACACTTATAGCATGCATGAAACTAAGATATTTCTTGTAAGATATTTCACTTTTTTCCATTTGAACAGCCCAGAAAACCCAGCTAGAAAATATATATTGGTGTTGCTTTTATACAGTTATATTAAAAAAGTAAAAACAGCAGGAATAAAGGTACACCACATTATCAGTACACAGAGCTAATAATCTAGCGTTATTATGTTTGTGTTAATGCAAATTCAAGATACTTCCCTTCAGATACAATGGTCCTGACTCAGTGAATGATGATTGAGCAAAACACAGTAATTTACCGTTCTGCTTGGAGGCATTAGCATGCTGAATCTACACAACACAATGTGTGCGCCGCTCCTTCCTTTATCCCTGTCACTTTCCCTGTTTGAAATGCTGTATCTCAGCATAGCTAATCTGATACAGATAGTAGCAGCAGAATCAGATGTTGCCTTATTCTAAAATGAGGAATGGATCTCATATGGATGTTAGACACAGACGTGACTAATGAGAAGCTGCTCTAACAAAATGCCGTTGGGCCCACCTGAGCCATGGCATGAATTCATAGTGACTTTACAGGTAAATTAAATAACGTTATCAAAATCAGTATGACAGGACACAGTCTTTGGCATGTGTATGATTTATAGACAACGGTGAAATGTAAGTTTTCCACAGAAGTTTTAATGACTGTTCATACATCGGAATATAGGTCAGAAGTAACAATAGAGAATTGCTCTGCTTTTGTGGAGCATTTATTTTAGATTCAGACGAATAACAGATTTATAACTCATGCATAATGCAAAGGCAGCCTTACTTTGATTGATTAAAGGGGTACAGCATGCAAGGTTTGGTGCTTAACAATACATACCAAAAAAAAGAGCTGCACCCTCGAGTTTTCCACTGAGCCAAAAGCTACTTGCCGTGATAAAGAGAGCCATCTAAATATGATCATGGGATTCTAATGAAAGATTGCTATTCCCAGTACAGTAATCTCCTGGCTGCATGAATTTCTAATGCTGCATTACGCAAAGGAGTTAAATCACTGGATGAAAAAACAAACAAACAAAAAAACACTGATAATTTGTACACCAGTGCAATATAAATGAAATGGCCTTAATTGTAGTCAATAATGTTTTGAGAAGCAAGCTATTTTTTGACTGTTTACCATAAAATGGCAAGCATTTTTAACAGTGTCCTGCAATATGATGTTATAATACATCAAAACATATTTTAAACCATTTTCAGTTATTACTATTACCTGTAATAGGTCATATTAATTGAAATGCTTCAATATATTGTATTATATTGTGAAATAAGTATATTATGCTCACTAAGGCTGCATTTATTTAATTAAAAGTATGGTAAAACATATATTGTGAAATATTATTACAATTTAAAATAACTGTTTTCTATTTTAATATATTTTCCTGACTGTATTTGTATTATTTTGATGGTATTTTTTCAGTCACACAATCCTTCAGAAATTATTCTGATTTGCTGAATATGCTGAATTGATGCTCAAGAAACATTTATTATTATTATCAATGTTGAAAACAGTTTTGCTGCTTAATATTTTTGTGGATTGAAACTGTGACGTGATACATTCTTTTCAGGATTATTTTGATGAATAGAAGTAAAAAAAACAGCATTTATTTGAAAATGTAAAATTTTCTTTACTGTGACTTTCGATTAATTAGTCGAAATGCCCCCCCCCCCCCCCCCCCCCCCAAAAAAAAAATATATATATATATATATTTATGTTGTATTTACATACATATGTAAAATTTTATCTAAAATCTTGATTGAAAAAAGTCAACAACCATTTCCAGTTCCATTTATTAAGGTTCATATGTTGTGCCATAAATGATCCATTCAGTTGATTGCTTGAATAAAATCGCCAAGTCAACGCAAAGAGTTATTAATACATTAAAACTATTAATGGGTTCCTGCTAAGCTTCTCTAACCGATTATGTACCCAATGCCATTCCATTATGCATATTTAGCTGAAGAAACATTTAATGCCATGGCATTATGTAAATACCTGGGAAAATTACACAAACATGTTATCTGTGGAGAGCAGCTGTCACACATTAGCGATGTAGGGCTATGAACTCGGTTATGCTTGCTATATATTTCAACATAATTGCATCAACAGTCAGCAATGATGAGCATGAGATCCAAGCCTTCACTATAGTCACAGTATATTCAGTTGTACCACTGTTTTGCAATCCTAGAAAAGGTACATTGCTATCCAAAATACACTAACATAAATTCAACTAACATATGGCCATCAGGTCTGGTGGAAAGATTGTCAGTTAGTCAGGCTGGTGCTTACTCAATATTGTGTGTCATACAATATCTTTGAATTCAGGTTATGGAACAGAGAATTGGGTGAAACAATCACAACTCATTCAATCCCAAAAGGATTATGGAATTGCACAGGTCAATATTAGCAGATTATGAGTAATCGTATAGAGGTCAGTCTGTTCAAGGGATTTGCAGTGCATTTAAATCAGTATTATTTGATTGCAGTGATTTTATGCCAAAGCTTGTATTTTTAAAAATATATTATATGGCCCACTGATTTTTAATTTGAAAGAAGAGCACAATATAAAATGAATAAGAGAAAACGGACAGTCATCTGGGCATGATCGCAAAATGTTATTATGGCTGGTGTTATTATGTAAGAAGAAAGAGATCCATGTAATGACACCTGATAGCCAGGTCAGTGAAATTTAAAACAGTTCTTTCACCAGAACTGGCTCCAGTTAGGTTTTATATAAAGCATCACAATAATCACATTTCAGTGTCAAGAACAGAATATTGTAACAAATATCATGGGGAAACAGAGTAGTATCTATAAATGTACATTTCGTTTTAAAGCAGTTGTTATTCTCCAGTGAACTGCCAGAACAATTCAACCAGAGAGAAAGAGAAAGTGATAGAAAGGGATACAGCATCAATTCTCTGATAAAGTGACAGAAAAATAGGTCCAGAAAGAAGTATATAAATGAGAGAAGAACACGCTTCCTTGTGAGGACTCTTACAACACTGCAGACGTCGACAGAAGTTATGCTCCAGTGCGTCTGTCTGACACTATGTCAAAACAGAGAGTATGAGAGGTTCACTGATGCCTGCAAACTTCTGCCTGAGTGCCTAACACACGGAAGAATATGACAGGAACTCTTAACGCCTCCCCCATCCACCACAAGCCCATTTACAAGTGCAGAACATTGAAGTTTAGCAGCATTTCACTCTCTCATAAGAAAGCAAAGGAGTTAAAGGAGAAAAACACGTTAAAGGAAATAGAAGAGTTCACCAAGAATAAAAAAATCTTTCATCAATTACTCACCCTCATGTCATTACAATTCTACATTCAGGATGTTCATGTTGCTCTTTTCTACGCAATGAAAGCAAATGGTGACAAAGGCTGTCAAGCTCCAGAAATGATAAAAGTAGCATTACAGGTGTCCCAACTCTTGCACTATATTCCAAGTCATTCATGCAATTTGAATATGCAAAAAATTTCAAAGGTGGCATATCACATTATGAGACACATGAGAACCAATGACGTTTGGTGTCACTTACGTCAAACCTGGTGTGATACATCCCGACGCACAATAGAATATTATTATCCTGGTTAAAACCAGACCATTCTCAGTTGTAACTGAGTTATGGTCTGGCAAAGCGTCATAGACAAATCATTTCCAGGGGGGCATCACCAATGGACGTCACGGGTAGACCTAAAACCAATCAGAGCGATGAAAGAGATGATGTATGCAGAGCGGCGGCTGGCTGAGAAACATCTCAGAGTGATGTTTTTTGCTCAGTTTTTAACAAAAAGAAAACCTTCAAATCACTAAAAAACAGACGCGATAGCTGATTCGAACGAGTAATGTTCGACGGCGGCATCCATCTACAAATATAGGCTACAAAATCTGCTTCAAAATCCCAGCGCTGTCGTCATCATGAAAACCCCACCCCAACGTTTCTGATTGGTGCCATGATTTCGACGGATTGGAAATGGGCAAATCTATATGAGCAAATCTAAATTTGCCGGAAGTTGTTTGGGCTTTCCCAGGCTAGAATATTATCAGTAAACAACTTAAAATATCCCCTGATGTTGAAATGGGGAGAGTTCATCAAATATTTACTGCTGAACTTACATAGCAGCCCGTTCTCATCCCAAGGCGTCATCTAACTGATGCTTTTGACCATGCGCAAACGTCGCACATGGCACCCTTTAGTGTCAATATGAGACGGGCCTCCTAGTGGTCTAACCCTAACCCTACACCAGACCTAAACCTACCCGCGTCATCTAACTAATGCTAAAGGTTGCCATGTGCGTCGGATTTAGACGCATGATCAAAAGCGGCAGTTAGATGACGCCCTAGGATGAGCATCATCTAACTGATGCTAAAGGTTGCCATGTGCGTCGGATTTAGACGCATAGTCAAAAGCGTCAGTTAGATGACGCCCTAGGATGAGCATCATCTAACTGACGCTAAAGGTTGCCATCTGCGTCGGATTTAGACGCATAGTCAAAAGCGTCAGTTAGATGACGCCCTAGGTTGAGAATGCATTGCATATAGCACACATTTTTATTTGATATTGTTGGAGCTTGACAGCTTTTGGTCACCATTCACTTTCATTGCTTGGAAAAGAGCAGCATAAAAACTCTTCCAAATATTTCCTTTTGTGTTCTACTGAGGAAAAAATTGTCTGCAACATTTTATTTTACAGTATCCTTCTTATACGTTCCATAGTTACTAATTACTATAAATACATGCAACTAACCCTAAAACAGACCCAATCATAAACCCTAACGCTATATTAATTAGTACTTAAATGTATAATTAAATACATTAAATACAAATACACTTAAATGTATAATTAGCACTTAAAAGTTACAATGTAACACAAAAATGACATACAGGTTTGGAACTACATAGGGGTGAGTAACTGATAAAAAATTATGAAATAAATTTGTATTTTTTTTACTGTTATTACCAGCTTGTGGGAAGCTGACAGGAATAAGTGATGCTATAACCATGAAGACATCTGGATCAAGATATGGATCCTGGATGACGGATCCGCTTGCCCCTGACGGTGATACGAGGGTGAGTTCATAAAATCTTAACTGTCTTAACTCAATTCCTTTGGATTTTTGTGTAGGAGAAAATATCCATGATCACCGCTCATTTTAATCACAACTGGCTCTCTTCTGTTTAAGTTTTTCTTGGCTAAAACGTATTTGCCTTTGTCTTATCAGCAATCTTTTTATCCCTACAGTGTAGTTCCCTATCGAGGGAACTCAACACTGCGTCGATAAAATCGACTCTTTGGGGACGCTCCCTAAGCGTGCGCCTCTGAAGTATGAATGAAACTAATCCAATCCTGATTGGTGTTGCGTCGTGACGTAACCTGTGACGGCATACCCGGAAGTATAAAAGTGACGCTGTCACAACACACACTAGCTTTCGCTCTTCAGCAAGCGCTTTATGTTGAAACTGTCTGTCTTATTTGGTGTTGTTTGTCTTATTATTGAAAGAAAGTATGGCCAGTGAACAATTCAAGAGGTGTGTGCATCCTTGCCCTCGTTTCATCACGGGTGGGGACGCACACTCTCTATGTGTGTATTGTTTGGGAGTGCAGCACGCACGGGCAGCTCTCGAGGGGGCTGCTTGTGAAATGTGTGAGGCTTTGCCTATTAGAGTGCTGCGCTCCCGGCTGGCGTGCTTTGACGAGCACGGTCAGGCTCGCGTTCCCCAGGGTTCCGGTCCCGCATATGTCGAGGCGATGCGGCGACTGAGATCCTGGGGTTCGCAGCGGGATCTGGCGGAGGAGAGTGAGAATGCTGAGGCATTTTCTCGCTCGCCATCGGCTGGTCCCGCAGCCTCTGAGAGTGGTGTGGGAGCCCGCGCTGCGGTTTCTCCTACCCGCGATCAGGTCCCGGTGCTTGAGCTGTCTACTTCTGAGGAAGGGGACGTGCTCAGCATCGATGCGGACGACCGTGATCTCAGCACGCCATCACGCGGCCTGGGTTATGAGGAGCTGGTGGAGGTTGTGACACGCGCTGTGGCCAGACTAAACATCAGCTGGCCACAACATGAGCAGGAAACGCAAGTCACCAGTAAAATGGACGAGCGTTACCTGCAGCGCAGGTCACAGCCTCACCGCCGGGGTCTGCCGTTTTTCCCTGATCTCCATAAAGAGATCTCGAGAACGTGGGAAAGACCGCATTCGTCCCGTATTTCGAGTCCCAATGTAATAGATTACAGCAATGTTATGGGGGCTCGAGATATGGGATATGGGAAGATGCCGAAGGTGGAGGAGGCTTTAGCGAGCTATCTCTCTCCCGAATCGGCGTCTTCCCTAAAGACCCCGGTGTTGCCTAGTAAGCCCTGCAGAGAGACATCTGCATTGGTGGGCAGGGCTTACATGGCGGCGGGTCGGGCTGGTTCGTGTCTGCACTCAATGGCGATTTTGCAGGCATACCAGGCCGACCTCCTGAAAGATTTGGATGAGGGGGAGGGGCCTACTCCTGAAGATGTCGCGGAGTTGAGGAAGGCCGCAGATTTGTCTCTCCGGGCCACTAGGGAAGCGGCCAGCGCTATTGGCCGCTCTATGGCGGCCATGGTGGCCACGGAGAGGCATCTGTGGCTGAACTTATCCGGTATTAAAGAAAAGGATAGGTCCTTCCTGCTGGATGCGCCGCTTTCGGCTTCTGGCCTGTTCGGCGACGCCGTTAATTCGGTTGTCGACAGGTTTCAGGAGTCGAGAAAACAATCTGCGGCGTTCCAGCAGTACCTCCCCCGGAAAGCGAAGGCCAAATCTAGTAGGGGGGGGCAAAGCAATCAGCCCCAGCCATCAGCCAGCTCCTCCCACAGGGCAGAGCAGAAGGAGAGCGTTTCCTCTAGAGCCCCCCTCCGGGGTCTTGGCAACAGAGGAAACGCTCCCAAAAACCGAAGTCCTCCAGCCAGAGGGGCGACCTGAGGGACGTCATTCAGGCTAAGAGGACTTCGGAAAAGAGGTCCTAGCCAAGGCAGGACTTCAGAGGGCTGCCCCCTCCGCAGTGAGACAACCGAGGTTGTTCTCACAACGGGGCCCTCTAGGAAAAGATGCAGGTCCGCCGTTAACAGCGCTTCGGGCCGCATCAATTTCCAGCGAAAAGACACCAGAGGCCAGCCTCGAGAGGCTGGTACCCTTAGCAGATTTTGTAGAGGGATGGTATCATCTTCCCAACATATCTCCATGGGTCCTGCAGATAATACGAGTTGGGTACAGACTGCAGTTCGCGCACCGCCCCCCCAAGTTCTCTGGGGTGGTGCTCACTGCGGTGGTCCCAGAGCAGGCTCAGGTGTTGGAACAAGAAGTACAGACTCTGCTGTCGAAAGGAGCCATAGAACGTGTTCTTCCGGTAGACAGGGAGTCCGGGTTTTACAGCCGGTACTTTATAGTTCCAAAGAAGGATGGGGGGTTAAGGCCAATTTTGGATCTCAGGGTGTTGAACCGGTCTCTGAGAAGGTTCAAATTCAGAATGTTGACCATTCCAACAATCGTGAGTCAAATCAGATCCGAGGACTGGTTTGTCACGATAGATCTGAAAGACGCCTATTTTCACATCTCCATCCTTCCTTGTCACAGGAGGTACCTGAGGTTCGCTTTCGGGGGCGAAGCATACCAATATCGGGTTCTTCCGTTCGGCCTAGCACTCTCTCCCCGCACATTTACCAAGTGTATGGACGTGGCCCTTGCTCCACTGAGACTTCAGGGGATTCGCGTATTGAATTATCTCGACGACTGGCTTATTTTGGCCCAGTCTCGGGAGATGGCAGTTCGGCATCGAGATGTCGTTCTTGGCCATATTCAAAAATTGGGGTTAAGACTCAATTTGAAGAAGAGTGTGCTAGAACCGTCCCAGGGCACGACCTTTTTGGGAGTCGTGTGGAACTCGATTACAATGCAGGCACGTATGTCTCCCGCACGTATCGAGTCAATTCTGGCGATGGTGTCCAGGGTGAGGCTAGGTCAGGCCGTCACTGTGAAACACTTTCAAAGGATGCTGGGCCTCATGGCAGCGGCATCCAACATTATTCCTCTGGGCCTCCTTCACATGAGGCCCCTCCAGTGGTGGTTGAAGACCAAGGGGTTCTCACCCAAAGGAAATCCGTTCCGTATGATCAGAGTAACGCGCAAGTGCCTTCAGTCTCTGCAAATATGGAAGAAGCCTTGGTTCCTATCCCAAGGGCCAGTGTTGGGGGTGTCATGTCGCCGGGAAACCGTTTCGACAGACGCCTCCCTTACGGGCTGGGGCGCGGTCATGGACGGCCGCTTTACCAGGGGTCTGTGGCAGGACCATCATCGCACTTGGCATATAAATTGCCTGGAGATGATGGCGGTATTCAAGGCTTTGAGGAGCTTCCTCCCAGACATCGAGGGTCGCCACGTCCTTATACGGACAGACAATACGTCAGTGGTGGCCTATCTGAACCGACAGGGGGGACTCAGATCGCGCCCTCTGTGCAAACTGGCGCATCAGATTATCCTTTGGTCCCAGGGAAAGATATTGTCAATAAGGGCAATGTATATCCCAGGGGTTCAGAATCGGGGAGCAGACATCCTGTCGAGGCAGGGGCTGAGGCCCGGGGAATGGAGACTTCATCCGGATGTGGTGAAGTCGATATGGGAGAGGTTCGGACCGATGGAAGTGGATCTGTTTGCGTCTCGAGAGACGTCCCACTGTCCACTTTGGTTCTCCCTCTCACATCCAGCCCCACTGGGGTTGGATGCCATGGTACAGGCTTGGCCGAGGCTTCGCCTGTATGCTTTCCCCCCGATCGCTCTGCTCCCAGGGGTCCTGGAGAGGGTCCGTCAAGAGGGCATCAGTCTACTTCTGGTTGCCCCGAGATGGCCGACACGAGTATGGTTCTCGGATATAATATCACTCCTCATAGCTCCGCCATGGCCGATTCCTCTGAGGAGGGATCTATTGTCTCAGGCGGAGGGCACAATCTTCCACCCTCGCCCAGAGTTGTGGAAGCTGTGGGTCTGGCCTCTGAGGGGGTTCAGTACCTAAATGCTGGCTTATCAGCTGAGGTGGTTGAAACCATACTTAGCTCTAGGGCCCCATCTACCAGGAGATTATATGGCCTCAAGTGGAAGGTGTTTCACACTTGGTGTGGAGAACGAAGGTTGGATCCAGTAAACTGCCCAGTGGCTTCAGTTCTGGAATTCCTTCAGGATCGTTTCTCTGCGGGTCTCTCCCCGTCCACTCTTAAGGTGTACGTGGCTGCCGTTTCGGCTTTCCACGCGCCAGTAGATGGTGGACCTCTGGGGAGGCACCAGTTGGTCATTAGGTTTCTCCGTGGTGCTTGGAGGATGAGGCCGGCGATCAGGTCCAGGGTGCCTGCCTGGGATCTGGCAATAGTTCTGGAAGGGTTGTCCCTCGCTCCCTTCGAACCTTTAGAGTCGGCTTCGCCTAAGGACTTAACGTTGAAAATGGTCTTTCTCTTAGCGATTACCTCTCTTAAGAGGGTGGGAGATCTCCAGGCCCTGGCGGTAACGCCAGCTTGCTTGGAGTTTGCCCCTGGCAAAGTAAAGGCCTTTTTGCACCCGAGTCCGGGCTACGTGCCTAAAGTTCCTTCGAGTACGGCTCGCTCTGTAGTCCTTCAGGCATTCCATCCTCCACCTCATGTGTCGGCGGGAGAAGAGAGGCTTCACTTGCTCTGCCCCGTCAGAGCTTTGAGTGTATACTTGGAAAAGTCTGCTTCTTGGAGAAGATCTGACCAGTTGTTAGTATGCTTTGGGTCACCTAAGAGGGGGCTCCCGGCGACCAAACAAACTATAAGTAACTGGATTGTCCAGGCTATTACTGAGGCTTACAAGGTGCGTGGGGTTCCTTCACCTTTGGCCTTAAGGGCTCACTCGACTAGAGGCATGGCTTCCTCTAGGGCCCTTCTGTCGGGAGTACCTCTGCAGGAGATTTGTGAGGCAGCCGGCTGGGCTACCCCGCATACTTTCATCAGGTTTTACAGTCTCAGCCTTCCCAGTACGCCCGGTGCACACGTACTCGGCCCTTGCTGAGTGCCTAATCAGTTTCACTCTGGGGCGGGTCTGTTCGGTGCGTGGCCTAGTGGGTACTCGTTCCCCAAAGAGTCGATTTTATCGACGCAGTGTTGAGTTCCCTCGATAGGGAACGTCTCGGGTTATGACTATAACCCTTGTTCCCTGAGAAGGGAACGAGACACTGCGTCGTGTTGCCACGCCCCCTTTTCAGACCCTTGAGCGTCTTGCTTCATCGCGAGGCTAGTGTGTGTTGTGACAGCGTCACTTTTATACTTCCGGGTATGCCGTCACAGGTTACGTCACGACGCAACACCAATCAGGATTGGATTAGTTTCATTCATACTTCAGAGGCGCACGCTTAGGGAGCGTCCCCAAAGAGTCGATTTTATCGACGCAGTGTCTCGTTCCCTTCTCAGGGAACAAGGGTTATAGTCATAACCCGAGACGTTTCTTGCAAACATGCCAAGATTGTGGTTTATTAAATTACCAGCACACATTAAGATGCAAATGATAAGAGTAAATCTTGCTAGATTTCATTAGTGTGGCAGCAAAGTCATTCCCAGTAAGAGTTGAATGATGTCTGTTAATTCCTGTGTCAGTGTTTCCCACACACAAGCGTTGGTATATTGCCGTTGGTTTCATATCTTTGTTTTCACACATAGCTTTAGTAGTCTGTGCTAAAAACAAAAAAATATTGGAAGACTATTTAGTTCCCTGCCTTTGCAAGCTTTCTGTCTTTCTCCAATTTTTTGAACAAATCAAAAACATCCATCTTGGTTAGATGTCAGCAGCAAGTAAGTTGCTTGACAACTAATCCATGATCCCATCATATATTAATGCAACAACTTCAAAGAGGATGGCTGAAGGTGAAGCTGTGGAGTTTTTAGCCTCTTTGAGATGGATCGATCCAGTAGAAAAGCCCATAAACAGAAAGGCATCTGACCTGCAGAGCTGTCTGAGCCTTAAATGATTGATGAAGGGTCAGAGAGTTGCCCTTGAGTGAAGCCTCTGATAGCCTTAGAGTGCAGCTTTCATATATTTCAGGGTCAGACCGTTTTTAAAAAATGTGCTTGTTTTAAGGATTGGGTTTTAGGAAATAGGTTCACTGCAGGGAAATGCTTATATAGGCAAGTAAAAAACAAAAAACAAAAAAAAAACAGACAGATAAGGACTCACTTCCTAAGGTTACATACTGACCTTGACTGTGACGAGATCAATGACATAAGATTGTCTACATTAAAGAAAAGGAAAACAAAATTACGTGTCAAGCCAAACGAATGTCATGTGGTGTAAACATTAATAACATATTTTCATTTAACCTTGAATACATGTGAGTATGCACATTTAGTTATTTTTTTAATAAATACAGTATAAATATATAAGGAACCGTATGTAAGAAATGTATTTCAATTAATCATAAAATGACCCTATGTCACTAGACATTACAAAATCATGTTCATTTCAAATACTTATATCACTGACAACAGTAGTCCGGCCAGGATATTGTCATTAATAGTGAAGTTGCAGCCCTCAACTGATGTTGATGTTGTCATGTTGTGTTTTGGTCTGATGCGCCACTCTCCATCTATCTACCAATCCCAAAGTCAGTAGTGTTGCAGCAATTGGGTGGCCAGCTCTACTGTAGTTACCACAAACGTGTCAGATAAAAAAAAGGTCTAAAGTTACGAATCCAAAAAAAACTTGTTATGATTCTGAAATACTTTGTGACAAAGTCCGAAATAAAACAAGGATTGATATAGGAGATGCATTTGAAAGATTGAGACGTCTGAAAACGGAGAATAATTTGTCTATCTGGCAACCTCGAGTCAGGGGGGAGGGGATACAGTACTATACAGTCATTTGAAAGTGATTGCAGTACCAGTTTTTGGCCACAATCTTACATAGTTCCTTTAAGTAAAAGGTTTTTGACAAATAAAATGAATGTTTCATTTATAAATTATTCATAAATAATTAATAATTCATATTTATTAATTCATTAATGTCATTATTTTTTAGTATACCACAAGACATTTTACAACCTTGAACTCACTTTGACTTGTCACAGAAAGGTCAGATTTTCTGATAATTTAAGAGGCTTATTGATCTTGACGTAGCCATTAGGGTCTGCACCGGTCCTCTCTATGATATAATTTTATGTTTTGTTTTGTCATGTCATGTTGATTCGTTTTGTTTCGTTTTTTCATATAATGCATTCATATGATGCATTTTGGTCTCTCCATATGACTTGGCTACTTGTTTGACAGAAGTTTTCAAATATCAAAGCCAGTGCAGCCAAAGACCATTTAATACTTTCTAATAATAATAAAAGACCATAACAAAGTGCTTAATTAGACGTTCTTCTAGAATTTAATTCTTTCAATGAGACTTTCCAGGACCTTTCATATCATTACAGTTGTCTCACCCTGACATTTTTTACCCAGTAATTTTTCAGAATTAAAAACCTCCTCGCTATAGCATGAGTCACTGTATGCATTTGTAATGCCTTTTTGAATAAATGAATAGCTACGACACTGATGCTCAATCATTTTTCCACCACCAGGTGTGGTACATGGACGGTTACCACAACAATCGCTTTGTCCGGGAATACAAGTCCATGGCCGACTTCATGTATTCGGACAACTTTACCTCCCATCGACTTCCTCACCCCTGGTCGGGCACAGGACAGGTGGTCTACAATGGCTCCATCTACTTCAATAAGTTCCAAAGCAACACCATCATCAAATTCGACTTTAAGACAGCCACCATCAGCAAGTCTGGTCAGCTGGATTACGCCGGCTTCAACAACCGCTACCACTATTCCTGGGGTGGTCACTCCGACATTGACCTAATGGTGGACGAAGGTGGGCTTTGGGCCGTGTATGCCACTAATCAAAATGCTGGAAACATTATCATCAGCAAGCTCAACCCATCAACCCTGCAGATCATCAAAAGCTACACCACCAACCACCCAAAGAGGAGCGCGGGTGAGGCTTTCATGATCTGCGGGACGCTTTATGTCACCAATGGATACTCAGGAGGGACAAAGGTCTACTATGCGTTCCATACCAACTCCTCTACTTATGAATATATCGACATCCCATTACAGAACAAGTATTCCCATATCTCCATGCTGGATTATAACCCTAGAGACAGAGCTCTTTATGCATGGAACAATGGGCACCAGGTGCTGTATAACGTCACCTTGTTCCACCTCATTCGCTCCGAGGAACTCTAAAGTGGCATTCTCCATCCGTCCAAGCTATACAGTAGCACTGAGGGAATTTATTACTGAAAATTAGAATAAAGCCTAATGATTGTTCAATAAAAGAAGGCGTATCAAAAGTAATAGTTAATGGCAACATAATGAAAAGATGCCAAAAAATCTCTTTTTTTAAGCTCCCTTAGATGATTGTGTTTGAATTTTCACTGCTAAAAAAATAAAAGATTGTATTAATTATTATTTTATCTTCTTGTACATTCAAAAATGTCGAAACATGATTAAGCAAAATTACATACAATAATACGTTTTTATTATTAAGCATACATTTTTAGTATTAAGCATAAATTGAACAAAATTTGGTTCGATTTATTCTTAAAACAAAAATAATACACACACACACACACACACACATATATATATATATATATATATATATATATGAAGAGTTCAGATGCAAAAGCCTCTAAATGCCATTTGAAATTTTCTTCTAAAATGACCATTTTTATCAAGCTTGTATATTTAAGTTCAGTAATTTCACTTAAATGACAATTAGTAGGTAATCTTCATTGCCATTTAAGGGAAATTACTGAACTTAAATATACAAGCTTGATAAAAATGATCATTTTAGAAGAAAATTTCAAATGGCACTTAGAGGCTTTTGCATCTGAACTCTTCATATATATATATATATATATATATATATATATATATATATATATATATACATACAGTATACTTGTACAGCTTACAAACATGATTCAATTACATAGTAGAGGGCATTGAAGCCTGATGAAAGAAAGATGTCATTAAGTTACCCAGTTATGTTCTTTGTATTGAGAGCAATCAAAACTATTTAACATCAACTAAAGGCACTGACTGTTGGAGGCAATCTGTTAAAGAACTGCAGTGTGCTGTTGTGACAATGTAGTTTCTGATCTTCGCAAACATTTGCATGAACATTTTTTAGCACTACAAATCACATGATTTGTTTTGTTTTGTTTTTGTTAATTCTTTTGTTGCAGTAATATGAACCTTGAATGTGAAAAAGAGATTTGATTAGTAATGGGTTTGCAATGTTTCCTGCCATGTCTCATTTTTGCTGTATCATTTGTTATGGGTTATCTTTAAAAAAAAAAAAAAGTGTTTATAAAGTGACTCAGTGACTTAGTAGGTTGGATTGTAAGAAAAAGCCAATTAGTGTGTGTGTGTGTATATATATATATACACAAAAAAGGTGTCAAAAGATAATGTGAGAAAAAAAAATATTTACAAGGTATTATTCTATGATTGTATTTTAAGACAGATTCATGTGTCAGCTATCTTAGTTAGATAAAATAGATGGTGTCATCTAAAACTGTTATGCTTGCGTCTGTGTTGTACTTGCAATGTGATTCATATCAATAAAGCCAGTCGTTATTTTACACTTCTTGCCTGAAGCAAATGAAATTATGAGCCAGATGTGTAGATCAAATGCAGTCTCCAAAATAAAGTTCTATAAATAAAGAAAACAGTATTCTCTTTTGTGTGTGGAGAAAAACATATCTGCGGATATAATGACCCAACTTCAGCTTCCGAAGTCTTCTGGAGCCAAGGGAAATGTCAAATGGGACTGAATAGTCTAAAAAAAAAAAAAAAAAAAAATACCAGTCTAAAGGTAGATATCATTACCAGCCTATATTCTTTCTCCATGGTAACGGGGGCTGAAAAGTGATGACCTCATCTGTTTGGCTGCAGTGAAAGAGCTGATCCGGAAGCAGTGGGATATGCACTAAAGACAGAGCAACTCATTAGCCCTCAGCTCTTCTCTAAAGGCAGTGTCAAATTGAATTGTCTGGTTTGTCTGAGCTCAGCAAATACACATTTAATTCAAGCCACCATGACACTGGCAAACCACTATTCAGGGAAGACATGAAGCCCTAAAGGTGCTTAGATTTAATGTATTTCTTTCTTCTTTCATCTCAAGGCAGCCATCAGATCAGCTAATCTAATTCCCCTCAACTCGTCAGTGCCATGGAGCCACCAAAGTCATAATTAAGCCTCTCTGTTACATTCGCATTGTGATGAAAGTCATCTTCCCTTTTTATAATTAAGCAATATACAACTAATGTAATTATTTCACAATGAAAAAAAAAATAATGCTTCCAGATGCAGAGGACATTTAAAGAGATCAGAAAGATCTCTTCTTACCCCTTTACTGGCACTCATGCTGATATTTTGGAAAATGACTCAGGCAGAGTGTTGTTGGGGTTTTTTTGTGTGTTATTTTAGCTTTATTTTTTTCCACAAAAACATTTTTAAATAAAACATTGCTTGAAGCATCATGAGGGTGAGTAAATGATGACATAATTTGGGTGAACCATCCCTTTAATACCATATTGAACCATATTGCATTTCTTTAACGGGCGGTTTGGCAGGCTAGTCCGCTGCTGTTAGCCCCTACTGGTGGCATGACTGGCACCATCTGGCTGCAAAAAAGCATCTCTCTCCATTGAGGGCCATTCAAAATCAGCAGTGCATTACAGTACATTCTGATGAATACAAGCAAATATACATGTTTTGACATGTTTCAGGTAACAGCCTGCAGTATTAACCTTTCATTTTCAAATGGAATGGAATCTGATTATGCCTATAATGATTGATTATTATGGGGTTATGCTGATTTGTATGTTATCCCAGGAAACTACCATTGAGATAAACAGGAAAGCTAAAGGCCTTCTTGAACCCAACCTGCAATTTTCTAGGCCCACTTTAAAGGGATAGTTCACTTTGAAATTAATTTTTGATATGTTTTAGCTTACCTCAAGGGCATCCAAGATGTAGGTGTCTTTGTTTCCACAGCATTTTCAATTTTGAAATTTTTTGGTCAAACCGTTGTTGTCTGTCAGTCATACACTGGAGGTGAAGGGGGTCCTCAATCGGTTCACCTCAAAGAGCATGCACAGAGAAGTCAAAATTAAACATGATTTAATGACTCGTATATGTAAGTACACATTGATGGCCTAAGACACGAAACGAGCAGTTTTTGTGAGAAAACGAATAGTATTTATATCGTTTTACCTCTTGTAATCATAGCCATGACAAAATCATCTGATGCACGGGCGCTTCGGTTTGCGCATGCGCCGGAAATGATCGCTTGCGCGCCTACGTCACTCTTTGTTTATACAGAGATTTCAGAAGTTTTACCTTTCATTAAACATATTTAGATATATGGGAAACCGCAATGGAAGACGATTTCGGTATATCTAAATATGTTTAGTAAAAGGTAAAACTTCCAAAATCTCTGCGTAAATATTGAGTGACGTCACACGCAAGCGATCACTTCCAGCGTAACATTGAACTGATTCAGTTCGGTTCAGCTGGACACTGAACAACTGATTCAGATCACTTGGATTACACGAGGTAAAAACTATATAAATACTGTTCGTTTTCTCATAAAAACCACTCGTTTCGTGTCTTAGGCCATCAATGTGTACTTACATTTACGAGTCATTAAATTATGTTTAATTTTGACTTCTCTGTGCATGCTTTTTCAACGCATTCTCACCCCAAGGCGTCACCTTTGACCATGCTTCAATATTTGACGTTTTAGGCGCCCTTTAGCGTCACTTACATGACGCGATCCTACAGCGTCATCTAACTGACGCTAAAGGAAAGCGTCAGTTAGAGGACGCGGTTAGGTTTAGGTGTGGGGTGGGGGTAGGGTACACGCGATCCTAGGGCGTCATCTTACTGACGCTAAAGGGCGCCTAAAGCGTCAGATATTGAAGCATGTCCAAATGCTTCCCAAGGCGTCAGTTAAGTGACGCCTTGGGGGTGAGAATGGGCTGGCTTTTTGGTGGACCCCCTTTGCCTCCAGTGTATGACTGATAGACAACAACGGTTTGACTGAAAAATATCAAAATTGAAAATACTGTGGAAACAAAGACACCTACATCTTGGATGCACTTGAGGTAAGCTAAAACATATCAAAAATTAATTTCAAAGTAAACTATCCCTTTAAAGTTTCTTGCATTGGGCCCCATCATGCTGGGGCCCTCAGGGGAGATCGTTATGGGCCCTAAATGGCAGTATTGAACACATTTCCAGTTTGTGCGTATTACAAGCACAAACAGAAGTGAACTGAAGACTTAATCAGAATTTTTTTTTTTAGTTTGCCTGTGTTGATGAATTTGACAAATCTGACCAGCATTTGTTTAATATTCCTAATGTGAACTGAATAAATTATGCTATGACCTTTAGATTTTTATGGAAGCTTGTTTCGGCCACAGAATAAAAAAAAATAAAAATAAAAAAATAAATAAAATTAATTACGTGATGTAAAGTCGCAATTTACGAGTTATAAAGTCAGAATTCCATGATTTAAAGTCGCAATTGTGTGATATAAAGCCAGAATTGTGTAATATAAAGTCGTAATGGTAACGCTTCCTTTTAAAGTCCAGTTACCCATGTAAATACTGCAGTATGTACTTATTTTAGTAACTACAGTTACTGGGTAATAACTAGTACTAACCCTGAACCTACCCCTAAACCTACCCCTGTTCCATGAACTTACCTTATATTAGCCAGTACTTTCTAGGTAAGTACACTACCCTGTAAGTACTGTACTGTACAACTGAGTGTTATAAAGTCAGAATTGTGAGATATAAACTTACAAATAAACTCACAACTCTGACTTCTTTTCTGCATGTTTATATCTTGAAATTATGGCTTTTTAACATGCAAGTGTGAGATATAAAGTCATAATTGTGCAATTGTATGTTATAAAGTCAGAATTGTGAGATATACATTCGCAATTCTAAGGATTTTTGTTTTTCCTTAGAATTGGACTTTATAAATCACAAATGCGTGTTATAAAGTCAGAATTTTGAGATATAAACTCACAATTGCAATTATCTTTTAAAATGTTTTTTTTTCTTCTCTGTGGCGGAAAAAAACAAGCTTCCATAGATTTTCGCTCTTGACCCAATAACTAATGAACAGTGATGGTAAAAAAGTGACCATACCAACCACAGCAAACATCAGTGTATTTGCTATTGTTAACATTACTATAAGGAACAACAACTTACAGTATATTTTGATGATAGATTACTAAGACAAACCATTTTTTCTTTGGAAAAACATTCATTCATAAATCATTCATCAAAGACCCTTAACATGCAAATAATTAAATACAGTATTGTACAGTTTGATTTCATCTTGATGTTTAACATCCTTATCA